TTTAAAATTTACATGATAATATTTTCAATATCTATACTATATAAATGTATAAAAATATTTGAATATCTCTTTTACTTAATAATTCTTTTCAATGAACAATTTTTTCAATTCTTTAGTAGATCAATTGAATATAATATAATCAATTATATATATAATCAATTAAATAAAATAATATATTTAAACTACTTACTTTTTTTTACAATTATTTTGAGTATACAGTTTATTTCGGCCAAATACAATATTCTAGTTAATATTGAAATGTCGACCACGAACTATGAAACACCTTTCACTTATTAAAAGGAGCAATCCGTCGTAGTTTAAGAAGGCGTTACGGTTCGTAATAGAATGACGAGATAGACCGAAGTCTAGAGCAAGACTGTTACATCAATTTCTCGACGGTATTTATTACTTTCACTAAACTTCCACATTACCGGAACTGGCAAATATTCGTACAATATCCAGCTCGTATTCTATATATATAGATATCATATAGCAGATATTATAAATTAGACATTCTAATTCAAATATTTCAGTTGAATTGACACCTGTTGAACGTTCGACAAAAATGGTAAAGTATACCAACTGTCAAGATTTTTAAAATATTTTGAAAATTTATTTCTTATGCAATATAAATCTTTGAAATAAATTTCTGAAAATACATTATAAGTAAAATCATATAAAATAATATCTATTTTTTAAATTAATATTTCATAGTTACTTTCATATTTCATAGTTACTTTCTTTGTAATATTGTTTGATGTTTTTGCCCATGACTTTTTTTCCAAATCACGAAGACCGCCGTCAGAGCACGCTTTTGTTTGTTTGATGTACATTGAGTTCGTTTGAGAAGTTTAAATGGAAAGTTCAGCGTATAATGAAAATGGTATACGTGACATATAATATATTACAAGATCATTTCGATTGTGTAATAATTAGATTTGATAATTAAATCGTCAATTTGAGTGTGAATAATGTTATTTACAATGAAATGGATTGGACATTTTTATTAATAAAAATCAGAATAACAAACTTTTAATTGTTGACAATGTATGGAAACAATGATTATTAATAACATAACAATCTTTAATGTTATTATTAACATTAATTATTAACAATTTGTTGATATGAATATGAACGTGTATAAATATGCATATCTGTAAATATATATTTGACGATAAATAGTATGTAATTGCCTTTCATTTTTAAGAAATTACATAGATAAAAATGAAAAAAACATGAGTAATAGTATTAAAAATATTTTAGACAAATACATGTGTTCTTAAAATAACGTCATATCAAATATTTCTGATAAAATAAATTGTATGCTTTTTTATAATAATTTCATTATAAAAGTACTATTTTTTTAAGAATTTAATATTTACAAATATTTATTTTAAAATTAAAAAAATGTTTTCTTTGAATAACTAATAATTCAATTTACTATGACTTTAAATCTTTAATTTATTTTTTTAAATTTGATTCCTCTTCATCATTAGTAAAAAGCAAAACATCTTAAATAAAATCAAAAGAAACTCGAAAGATATATATCGTAAAATAGGAAAAATAAAACTTTCATTTTATACACATGGTTGCTCATTCTTTTGATTATTGTCGATTATTCAAGATAGACAAGTGAGAAGAAAAAATTACTGATGGAGAAATTCGTCTAAAGATTTAAATCGATTACTTCAATAAAATCAATAGAAACATGAATTGATTTAGGAAAATTGAAATGGAAAGTATCCTGCATAATTTTATTTTATTTTATGTGAAATAGATACCAGAGATAATAAATCTATTTTTTACATGTACGTATTTAAAAAAGAATAAAATAAAATTACCATTTTCATAGAATTATTCATAGAATTTCTGTTATCTTTCTTTAAGAATATGATATAAATATATATTATTTTTCATTATAAAGAATTTAACTTAAGTTAATTAAAATTTTACAGGCGAGATTTTACACTTTTTTTCTAAATGAAGAAAATAGAAAGAAGATCTAATTCTATTTCTGATAAGAAATGATTTTTCCAAGAATATGTAGCAATCGTTTGTTTTCTGTAAATTTTTTATTGAGACTCATAACCCAAATATGAAGAAAAAACATTTCGAGATATAAGCGAGATATCGGCTAGTTTCCTCGAGGGCGGGACGTTTAGAAAGCTGTAAGTATTCGCCCATAAGTCGACCATCTCGAGTGCAAATACGAATTTCTAAAATATTTCGATTCTTTATTTACTATCGTGTCTTTGGAATGTTTCAAACATCCCTTTTCTATTTGCACCTACGCATCAAACGATACATGTGTCACACCATATCCCCTTCTTTACTTCAAAATATTTGCTTGCTATGTTGATATTTTTCTACTACGTTGAAATCAATTGAAAATGCCTAATTTTTTTTTTTTTTTTTAAATAAGAAATAAAATATCTCTAAAAGAGAAATAACAGTCAATATTTATTTCGCATTTATCTTTTAAATTACGACACACAATTATATAGACTTAAAGTTATTATAATTCATAAAAAAAATGTTAATATTCTAAGAATAATGACTTTCAATTTTCAACAATAACAATAAACTTTTTTTTAAAAAAAAAAATATCAGGCGAAAACTAATATCCCAGACACGAAGAAACAGTGAAACGTCCGTTTGAACTATTCTTTGATACAAATCTGAATATCTGGAGCAACTAGGTGACTAAGTGATTTACGAACTAGAATACTTGAAACATATCGTAAAAATTTCATGTGCAATCAGGCATCTGACTCTGTAAAATGAAGAATTCACTTTCATATTCCATGAATATACATGTATTTTTATTGCATATTTCACGCGAATTTAGATAATTATCACTCAATTAAACAAATTTTTGAAGCGAAGAATATTATATTTTATATTTCTTCGTAGTATTTATTTTTTTTAGCTTATAATTTTTATTTTTTTATTTTCACTATCTATTTTTCATAGATCTTTAGTCTTCATTATATTTCTCCGTGCTTTTATTTATTTATTTATTTTTTTTAAATTCCATTTCTCATTAAATTTATCGATAAAATATTGAAACAAATTTTACAATTGCCAATGGTTGAAATTTCAAAGAAAATTATTTAAATAACGAATCGTTGCTTTTGCATTATAATGTTTCTTTCCGCTTTAGCGTGTACTTTCACCAGTGCAGGCGTCTGTGATTATGAGCTTTTCAAATAAAACGCAATGCCGCCATAATTTGCGCGCGTTGTTTCGTTTCAGACATAAATCTTGCAAAAGTATATAATACATAGAACATAACTTCTCTTTTTTTTTATATCTTTTCTATTAAGAGTAAAATTCATTTTGTTCACATCTTGTAGTGATCTTGTTACAAATTTTAATAAAGTTTGATTAAATAACATATTACTGCATACTATTTGGCTGATGAATAATTTAATAACATAATTTAAAATAAAATTTTGTAAACACATTTTATTTGGATTTGAATATTTAACTAATGAAAGAAAACACATTAGAAATAATGAAAAAAATAAATAGAAGTTGATTTTCATTCGAAAGAAAAATATATACAATGATTCTTTTGCAACAACAATTAATTTTTTCATAAAACATTAAATTTATAAATAATAACTTCAGTTAAATTATTTAATTTAAAAAATTGGAAATAAATATTGAAAGTAATCCAAACTACTGTAATCGTTTAATATTAACCATTCATAATAAAAATTATAAAGTATAAAAATTTCTATCCCCATTTAGAATATCGAATGTATTAACAATACAATATATAAAATTTTTTAACTATTTGCAGGAAAGGATACAACTTTGGATTCACTCAAGTGATAATCTCGCGTCAATCAGACGCCTTTATGGCAATCAATGATGACAGAATATGTGAAAGGAAAAACGATGGTGGTCCAACCATGGAGCCACCTTCCTGGAATCTTCCGGCAGAGAAACCTACGCGGACATAAAAACGGTTAGTCAATCATTGAAGAGGAAAAAATTCGCGTGAAATACGATGTGGTACGGTCGATCTCCTTTTGCCATTACTTTTCCATCTAGGTAATCTGGAGCACCAGGTATAACCTTGCTACATAACCTTGCCTCTCCATGAACTTCGCCTTCACTGGACAGAGCCGCATAAATATCAAGAGAGCGAAACCGTAAGGCTTGCCCGACCGGATCGCGTTCCCGATCACTTTCTCCGGAACGATGGCCCCTCGTGGTATAAAGAAAGATCGTTGGTCTGGGAGGTGGACAAGGAGGAAGGAGAGAACGTAGCGATGGGATTAAGTTTCTTTTGAACTTAATAAATAATTACAATTTCCGTTGGGATAAAAATATTATTATGCACATATTATTCGTAAGATTTACGATATTAATTATCAGAAGAATTATATGACATCGATATATAAAACATAAAGTAAAATATAAGGAATCAACTTTAAAGATCTCTATTCAATTTTTTAAACGATTTCACGGATATATCAGTATAATAAAATGTAAAAGAATAAAATGAAAGGTAAATAAGATTATATTGAAAGATAAGATGTATGTTATACATAATTTAAAAAGGGAAACATATATCATAAAAATTTAAATTTTTAGGAGAGAAAAATGCAAAGGCTTTCGAAGACGTCACAACATTTTTCACATCAATGAATAATGCGATCTAATCAATTAACAAAAAGTAAAAAATGAGATTGGTCCCAACGCTGAACAGCCGAGTTTCCGTAACATAGTCTCGTTGGAATCCACCACTATCGTGTCTCGATTTCCTCCAACTATGGGACCTACCTCCACCTCCAGGCCGATTTTACCACCACTTTTACCATCTGGCCCAGACACACCACAAGTCACCTTCAGACGATGGCACTGGGGGAGAATACGCGCCTATATAACTACGGCGTTCCACTGATTGGACGAAGTAAGTTACGTTTTCCTGCACTTAGGGAACAAGAATACGCGGCCCGAGCCCGACGGGCGGCATTGCGAGAAATATGAGGATTCGCCCGGGATGCGTGGTCAGTTTTTATTCTTAAAATATGTTTTCAAAACGTTTTGTCAATTTCATCCATATCCGTCAAACTTTTAAATATCCTTAAGGTGGATGTTCTTGAATGATTTCATCGTAGCAAGGATGCGAATAAAAACAATAGGTGATACTTTCGAGATTCATCGTATCTGGAGTAAGTAGTGTTCATTATCGAAGAATGGTAATCATGATTGATTGTTAATTTTATTTTATTTGAGATTTTTTGGTACATTAAAATTTGATTACCGTTTAACGATTAAACCAACATTAAATGCTCCAGATGATTATTAAGCTGAAAAATGGAATTAATGGTAAATTTGTATATATAGTAATATATTTATAATATATACAGATATTTATAATAGATTATTATAAAATTACTTTTAATTACTTTTTGGTTTTCAGAGAAAATTGAAAAAATGGATTCAGATTTATAAAAATTCATTAGTGAATAATTATACATTCAAAAATTCATATTATATTCTCATAATATAATATAATTTTAAATGACTTCAATAATCGTTATAATTCTTTTCAGTTATGATATATATAATAATTTGAGAACAGTAGTCAAAACCGGAACTGTATGAGGCCGGCTACTAGTCGACAAACATGTTACTTGATTATCGATCAGCGACGAGTTTCGAAAGTGATGTTCCATAAACGAACAGTCGTTAAGAGTCATGTCTGGAACATAGCTGTAAAAAATAGAGATTTCTCCATTTTGTTTGATTTTGCATGAATATTCCGGGTTCTTATCGACATCTAAATGAGATCAAATAAACCAGTACTCTGGAATTTAAAAATGAAGATACTAAATCCTAGCATGCATTTATGTATAAAATTTTATACTTGTGCAATTATATTGTTCACAGGTTGCACTAGTGGTGCTATTGCAAGTCGCATTTGTGGCGAGCAAAGCAGTGGATCAAAATCAGCTGCAACAACAGAAGTCTCAGCAACAAACTCCGTAAGTTTAATTGCTTTTATATTAATTATTTTTTTATTATACTTTTATTATACTTTTTTTATATTAATTATCTTTGAATAAATTATTTTAAAAAATACTTAAAGATGATAACAATACTTTAAATAATTTTTATACATAGATATAGCACATTGGCACAAAAGAGATGGAGTGATGACTTGGGAAGTCACAGTAATTTGGGTTCCGGCTATGGTGGAGATTCAAGCGGTCATGGTGGTGACATAGGTGGTGGTGATGGAGGTGGCTTTGGTCATTCTGGAGGTGATGACGCTAACGGTGGTTTTGGTCATTCTGGAGGTGGTGATGTTAGCGGTGGTTTTGGTCATTCTGGAGGTAGTGACATTGGTGCTAATTTTGGCCATTCTGGAGGCGGGAATGGTGCAGCAATCGAAGAACATCATGACGATCACCATGATCATCATGATCATGGTTATTGGAAGAAGAAGCTTATCTGGAAACCAGGATGGAAAAAAATTTGGAAACCAGCAAAAAAACAGATCTGGAAACCTGCTTGGAAAAAAATTTGGAAACCCGTGTGGGTTCCAACGCAAAAGGCAATATGGAAAGATATTCAAGTACCAGTTTGGAAAAAAATTTGGAAACCAGTGTGGAAGGAAATACAAGTCCCAGTATGGAAAGATATTCAGGTACCAGCCTGGAAAAAGATCTGGAAACCCGTTTGGAAACCTATAAAAGTTCCAGCATGGAAAGAGATTCAGGTACCTGCATGGAAAAAGATCTGGAAACCGGTTTGGAAAGAAATTCAAGTGCCAGCCTGGAAAGAGATTCAGGTACCAGCTTGGAAAAAGATCTGGATTCCTGAATGGGTCAAGATCGGCATTCCCGGAGAACATTATCACGGTACCGATCATCATGGATGGCAATATACCAGTCATGATCTGTGGAAGAAGAAACTAATTTGGAAACCATTATGGAAAAAGTATTGGAAACCAGCAAAAAAACAGATCTGGGTACCAGACAAAAAGTTAGAATGGGTGGAAGCCTGGAAACAAATTTGGAAACCAGCTAAAAAACAAATTTGGGTAGACGACAAAAAACTTATTTGGAAGGAAGAATGGAAACAAATTTGGAAACCATCCAAAAAACTTATTTGGGTGCCTGATAAGAAATTGGAATGGAAAGAGGCTTGGAAACAAATTTGGAAGACTGATAAAAAGCTCGAATGGGTACCTGATAAAAAGTTAGCCTGGAAAGAGGCTTGGAAACAAATTTGGGTACCAGCTTGGAAAGAAATTTGGGTTCCAGCATGGAAAAAAATTTGGAAACCAGTCTGGATATCGGAATGGTTTCCTATAGATGATCACCATCCTCATCACGGTTGGGACCGAAAAGATACACAGGCTCAAGATTCTCAGATAGCTCCTTACAGTCCTGACACTATTTCAAAGCAAAATGCTCAGGTTGAGCAACAACAATATCAAATCGATGAAAATAAAATCAGGTGGGATAGATCATCAAAGGCTGAAACTCCATCAATTAGTCAAGATCTGGTACCACCACCAGCAAACAATCAAAGCGGTTTAGCACAAAATTTCACGTTTCCCCAACGCTAATTAAACAATATGAACTTCTACAAAAAACTATTTGAGAAAGTATTGTAACATAAGCCACTGTATATATTATTTTAGTCGTAAGAATAAGTTGTAGAGAATTAAAAGGATAAATCGACAAAGTCCGTATTCTAATGCGTTTTATGTATATTTTCTCTTTTTTTTTTTTATACAATGTTGTTGTTATCTTTCTTTGTTAATCGATATCGTTATAAATAAAGTTAATTAATATTTTGTTAAAATAAGTCTCTTATTATTCTTTTATTCTTCTTTTCCAATTATATTACAGTGAAATTTATAGAAACTTATATTTTTTAGTAAAAAGAAAATTATTAATGATACAAATTATTTCATTGCATTATTTTATATTATTTACATTTATAATACAATATTTATATAATATTTATAATACAAATTGGCTATTTACACAGCCAAAACTGAATCAAAAATATATGGCAAAAAATAATTTAATAGATTGAATTTTTATTAATATTATATGAATTTTTTATAAAAATAGAAACATTTCTTTAACGTTTTTTAATACCATTTATTTTTTTCAAACATCTAAATTCATTTTCGTTCATTACTATTACCAATATAATTATTAATATTTCATTAACACCTTTGCATTATATCGTTTCGTTATCACGGAATCTAGATTTAACATGACGCAACGTGACCATGCGATCGAGCCGCAGCTGCTGCGAAACCAGAGAAAGTTCATATCTATTATGGAAGGAAGTCGAATCGCGTTGTATATGGGAGACCTCGACCATAGTGAAAGTATCCATGCACTCATACTCATATATCTCACACATATATACACCTACAAAAAGAAATAAATTAATTCGTTATCGAGTTACTATAGTATAATGAGTAACTTACATATATTCTTATATATATCCAGCTGTGTTATAAAATCAGATCTATGCTATGTTTAAATACGAACAGGATCGAGTAAATACGAATGAACACGAATGAACATAAACGAAGGAAGCAACATGAACGAATATATAGAAATAATTTATTTCTGTTTGTTGATATTCAATTCTAGCGTTTGATTTCATTACTCTAAATAAAGAAGCATGAATAAAGCACAGAAGTCAAAAATTTAATTGTTTAACTTCACATTAAAGATGTAAATGTATGCGTAATACTATTAAATTCCACACTAACATAACACATTTGATATATATGATGATATATACGATGTTACACGACATTGTACGAAAGCATTATCTTTTTGGTACTCTTCACATCAGTCTTCCTAAACAGTTATGTACGCAAGTAAAATTTTTCACTTCTATATATTTATGTTTATGTTAAGAGATTTAATGATACTACTAGTATAGTTAAGTGTATAACATGTTGCAGATTATATTCATTGATGCTTGTCACGCTTATAATTTGATGCTTCTTCATGTTTGTTCGTCAGTCATAAACTTGGCTTAATAAGTCATATATGTGCATTATGCTGTGGAATCAGCCTCAATGCACGACGAGAGAAACTTGCTTTGATCCAACTATACCGTGAGGTCAGACTTTTCATACGTTGTGTCAAAGAAGAAAAAAGAATCGGAGAAATGTCGTATATTTTCTAATCTACTTACCGGCCATTGCGGTTTTCACTTTACTCAGTCTCTTTGTGTCGATGTTTCGTTTCGATATTTTATTTCGATATTTCATCTCGATGAAATTCATAGAAAATTTAACGTAACTATAGTAAAATCTTTTTATTGGAAAATTTTATGAAATTAAAATTTTATTGGAGAAAATTGAAAAAATTGTTTTATATATTTTAATATAATTAAATATAATTATGTATATAGTAAATTTTGAAGCTTCAATATCGAACGATTATAGTTGAATTTTACGAATCAAAAACAAACTATAACGTAATTCATGCACAAGAGAATAATCGACAATTATATAACATTACTTTTGAATAGTTTCTAATTTAAATTATGATTAATATAAAATAATACGAATTTAATAGCGATAAAATCAAAAATGACTTGATTTTTTCTATTATTGAGTGGTAATTATATAATTTTTTGACTAGACAATAATTATAATCTAAATATTTTATATATTATATTTATTATTGATTTAAAAAGTCAAATTATATTTGTTTTAAAAATTCAAAAACTCGCATTTTAACAATTTAAGTCTTAACAATTCAATTTTTATCTCAAACTTGAAAAAATCGAAAATCAAAATTTCCAAAACTTTCTAAAATGATGATTTTAGAATAGCAATCGTAGGCGTATCAGAAAGTTCCATTTTATTGCTATTTCATGTTATGGAATATCAATTCAAGAATTCAAAATGAAAAGATACATGGAAGATATGTATCTTTTTTTCGCAAAAATATAAAACCAATTGGTGTAAGTCAATTTAAGCCATTTAATCTGAAAATAATTCAATATTTTAAATATTTCAACTTCTTTGATACTTTCTTTTTGTATCATTTTATAATGATACAAAAAGAAAATAAAAGATAATTCTTTTGAATTCAATTTATTTCAATTATTTTAATGTTTCAGATATTTATACTTTAATATAAGCAATTATTATTTTGTAAGTAATTTCTTTTTATATACCTATTATATTTTATTTGTTTCGTTTCTTTTTTACACGTATTATTATATAATTATATATAATTATATTTATATATATATATATACTTATTTTAAATAAGTAAGTATTATATTCATTGTTTCTTCATATTATTTTTTTATATTACTTTTCTTATCTTATCTTTTTTCGTTATTTTTCTTTTTTACATTGAATTTAGTACTCTATTATTTATATTTTTTAAAAATTATATTTAAAATGAAAAGAGAAATGATTTTTTCTTATATCTTAACTATTATTATTATTATTTGAACTTTTTTCAATTTTATTTTTAATTTTTCTTATAATCCATTATTATTATTTTTTTTTTTTTTGATCTAAAGATTTTTGTTCAAAAGTTTGTTCTATATTGTTATATAAACAATGATAATTGTTAAGTTCAACCAAGCTTTCATTTTACATGGAGTTTTTATTGTATTATAGTCTAAAAAGGAAGAAAAAATGGATTTCTATAAACAGAACACAGAATGAGAAGAGCGCCATGAAAAGGATGTCTCAGACAAAAAGATATTTTCGTCAAAGGCCATGGGTGTCACGCTGATAATATCACAGAGTACCGCCAGAATCGTTTTGGTTACCATACATGTATATATGCTTGGTATAGTAATCGCATTCGAAGTCTCAAACTAAAGTATCAGTCATTTCAAGATGTTCTACGTGATTATTTCTCTTCTCCTTGCACTCTATTGTATCTTTTGCATTTACGATTGTGTCAAACCGCACAATTTTCCTCCTGGTCGGTTAACATAAAATTTATGATCAATAGACATAATTTTTTATAAAACACTAATTACTTTAAATCTAAAAAAAAAAAAAACAATTCTGTGAGATTAAAATTCCTAATAATAATAAAGTCTTCGTTTATAATTTTTTTTATTCTAATTTATCAAGATGTTTTATTAGTTTTTTTCAAGTTTTTATTCATATTTTATTCAATGTTTGGACAGGTCCAAAATGGTTGCCGCTAATCGGTTGTTTTCTCACGTTTCGACGATTGAAACTGAAACACAAATACGCTTACTTGGCTTTTCAAGAACTGTCGAAGACTTATGGGCCGATTTTGGGTTTGAAATTAGGAAGTCAGAAAGTCGTTGTAATTTCGACGCACGATCTAGTAAAGAAAGTTCTTCTTCAAGACGAATTCAACGGCAGACCGGATGGATTCTTTTTCAGAGTCCGTGCTTTTGGAAAGAGAAAAGGTATGTAAAAAAAATTTGAAAAAGACAAAGAAAAAGTAAAATTTTCAATTTTTAATTATAATTTTCATTTAGTACTATAAACGATTAATATTAGATTTAAAAAAAATGTTGTGTATCTTTTTTTAATTTATAAATTTAATATAATTTTATCAATAAATTTTGACAGGTATTTTATTTACGGAAGGATCAACGTGGTCTCAGTGTCGTCGTTTTACGATGCGGCATCTCAGATCTTTTGGCCTAGGTCAGTCAATTATGGAAAAATATTTAACTGTCGAAGCTGAAAATCTTGTGAATTATCTTCGTCGTGTTAGTATCAAAGGCCCTGTACCAATGCACACAGCCTTTGACATTGCAGTTTTGAACTCTCTCTGGTGTATGTTTGCTGGTCATAGATTTGAGTATGAGAATGAGAAATTGGTAGAAATTCTTGAAATTGTTCACGATTCTTTTAGGTAATTTAATTATAGAAAGAATCTAAAAAATAAAATATAATTTTTAAAGTTTTTTTTTAATATGATCAGATTATAATTAAAAGTGCAGAAAGTGCATTAAGAAATACAATGCAAATATTATGTCGAAACATTTGTATGCGTTTGCCATAGATTGATGGATACAATGGGCGGCATTATCTCACAAATGCCATTTCTACGTTTCATAATACCAGAATTATCCGGTTACAACAATTTAATGAAAATACTTCGAAAACTTTGGAATTTCTTAGATGAAGAAATCAATAACCACGAAAAACATTTATCTGGAAATCAGCCGCAAGACTTGATTGAAGCTTTTCTTCTAGAAATTTCATCAAAAAATGGCATACAAAATGATTCTATTTTTGATAGTGAGTGAGATTTTTTTTTATCCGTACAATTAAGTTTTTTTCTTATTAATAACAAATAATTTTTATTGTTTAAAAGGAGAAAATTTATTGATTCTGTGCCTGGACCTCTTCTTAGCCGGTTCAAAAACTACAACAGATACTTTATCGACTACTTTGCTCTTTTTATCTTTACATTCTGAATGGATTAAAATACTCCAGGAAGAACTAGATAACGTAGTAGGCAGATCACGATCTCCTACATTGGAAGATTACTCATCGTTACCAATTATGGAATCATTTCTTGCGGAGGTAATTAATTAATAAAGGGGTTAATAATTATTGTATAAGATTTTATGTTTATTATTACACAATTATTATATTATTATATATTAGTATAATTTTTGATTAATAAAGTTTTCATTTTTTTCATCTATTATTCATTATGATTACTAGAAACTTGTAAAAATTGTATAAACAATTAATCGTTGCATTAGATACAAAGATTTTTGATTTTGGCACCACTTGGAGTACCTCATAAGACTACAAAAGACGTAATTTTGAACGGATATAGTATACCCAAGGCAAGTATCACAAATAATATCCCGAATAAAGAGTTTTATTAATATATTTTTATTATTTTAGGACACCATAGTTCTTTTGGATTTCCATAGTGCGCATAACGATCAAGCTTATTGGGATCATCCAGAAGAATTTCGGCCACAGCGATTTCTCGATACAAATGGTCGATTTTGTCAAAATAATGCCAATATACCATTTGGTTTAGGTACAAATCTTTTTCAATACAAAAATGATTCTTAGTTTAGAATATTTTTGAACACGCATATACGTATCAATATATCATTATTCCCGAAAAATAATTCATTGATTAAAATTAAATTTCTATAGTTTTCATTATCGAAAAAAGATAAATAAAAAACTAAAATATCAGTGTAAATATTCGAAATTTTTATATTATATTATATAATTTTTATGTTATATTAAATTTTTATACGTATTGATATATATAATTGATATAATTAATAAATTGATATATAACATTCATGTATAATAATCATTTTGTTCTTTTTAGGTAAAAGACGTTGTCCGGGTGAAATGCTGGCTCGGACATCCTTATTTTTATATTTTGCCTATGTGATACATTACTTCGATATCGAAATTTCACCAGAACATGGCAAACCAGATCCAAATGGATACGATGGTTTTACTATATCACCGAAATCTTATTACTTGAAAATCACGGCAAGATCCGATGTAACAAATTGCTCCACTATATAAATATTATAAATAATGAGAATAAAATTTTAAACATAATACATTAAAAAAGAAAATTACATATGTGAATAAACTTCCTTATCTATCAGAGTGAATCATTTATAATGCGTCACGTTTTTCCAAGGTAATAATTTAAAATAATTTAATTGAATACAAAAATCATATCATATTTAATAGAATAATAATTTTTAATAATTTTTAAGACATAATTAAACTGTATAATTATCATACTCTTATTTACACTTTTTCTAAAAATTTAATTTAATAAATAATTGTAATATTTATTTTTTGAATATATATTATTAGATAATGCATATATTACACTCTAAAAATGATATTACAATATGATTACATCTATTTGTTGATCTAAGAAATAAAATTATCTGATTAATCTCTTTTCATATTAGAAATAATCGAGAAACTATTATATTTTAAATAAATATAAGATAATAAGTTTTTATTTATAAAAAATATTTGTATAATATAATAAAAATTTGTTATATCATACAATATATTTATTGATCTTGCAAAGTCCATTTTTCAGCAATAAAGAATATTTGACATGTTGAAATATTGAAACCCGATATAAAAGGAGTGAATCTCCACGTGCGATGGTGCACAAGTGAAGGTACATTTGGACTTCTGTGAAACGCGCTGATTTCGTCGAACACGTAAAACGACGCTTAAAGCAACTTTCATGCGGTAGAAACAATAAACAATATTGGAAAGAAAAATTTGTTGAAATCAAATAAACTGGTTTCTATCTATGGGTGAAGCTACTTCAAACCGAAAAACGTCATATTTTACATGTGTTAATAATATTTTTATTATTATTTATCACAATTTATTATTAGAATAATCTAATCTAAAAATTATGCGTTTATAACTTGGATATTACGAACAAGTATGAAATAATACATTTTATTTTATTTTTATTATTTTAGTTTTATTATTTCTTCATAGTGAGCAATTAACATTTTTTTATAATAAATGAAATTTGTATTTCTTTTTCATGTTTTTTTTTTTTAAATTCAATAATAATATTTCGTGTTTTTTATTTTAATTTATTTTAGTTTAAAAAGGACAAGTTTTGTTTGGAGACAACTTTCAAAAATATATTCATCTAAAGTGAAAATACAAAGATTTCAAAAATTATCGTTTTTCAACTAATACATCATAAGGCTGTGGCGTCAATGTTATACCACTATTAATTTCTATAGAATATGGTCCTTTACCAGGAACTGGTAATAGAGTATGTTTCTGCATTATACCAACAAATAAAATAAATATCGTAGCTTTTGCCAATACATCACCTGGACATCGTCTTTTTCCTGAAAAAAAAAACATATTAATATAATTAAAATTATAAAAATTATAGATGATCAAATCAAGTTTTAAGTCACTATTTCATTTAACCATATGAGCCATAATATACTATATCATAAAATTTTTAATTTTTTTACAATTGCAAAATTATTTTCTATTTTGTACCTTTTCCAAATTGTAAAGAATATTCATCTGGTATAAAAACTCCATTTTTAATAAATCTTTCAGGCATGAATTTATCTGGCTCTGGATAAAGAGTAGGATCTTTATTGATAGAATATGTATTGAATAAAACAGTGGTATTTTTCGGTATCATGTATTTATCAATATTCGTATCGCAAAGAACTCGTCGTGGTCCAATTATAGGGAATACTGGCCATAATCGATATGTTTCATTTATTACAGCCTCGACATATGGAAGTCTATAATAAAGAATTTTTATTTTCATACGTATTAAATCCTCCAATTATTTCATCAGATATTCTTTTGCGAATCCTTCTATGTAAAAATTTCGAAAAAATAATACAAAGTAAATAGAATAATTTATATAATAGAATAATCTTTTTCAAATAATTCAACCAAATTTGAATTAATTTTGCCTAAAATTTTATATGCATAATAATTTTTAACATTTAAATTCAATTACTTTGCTTTGTCCTCCATGTTGGGAAGTCTATCTCGTGGAATTACTGAATCAATTTCTTTTTGTACTTTACGTTGTACATCCGGAAACAATGTCATAATTAAAAACAAAAAATCCAAAGACGTGCTTGTAGTAGTAAAACCAGCGAGAAAAAGATCGATTAATATCATCATCAATTGTTCGTCTAAAAATTATTACAGAAAAATATATATATTTACATATGCACATTCGATGGGGTTGACAACTTCGATGTATGACAACTTCTAGTGAAAATACTTTCTCTTTCGTAGTTATTTCTATTAATAGGCTAACATATTTTTATTAATACGTATTAGAAAATATTAGTGTTTTTTAAAATTAAAAGGAAATTTAAAATTTATTATTTTTAATTAAATGAAAAATATCAAAAATGTTTTCTTTTGAAATCTATGAATTCCTATTAGAAATTCATACATTTTTAAGAAAAAAATATCGTAAATCTACACACAAGTATCTATACAAATATGAATGAAATATTATATGAACTTGATTATACCAGTAAAAATGGTGGATTCCTCATTTTTTTTCATTTCTTGAAGAAACATATCAATTAGATCTGCCTCCTTTCCTAGACTATATTTCTCTTTGTGGTCAGTAATAATTTTCTGTGTGAGAAAAATTTTCATATAACGGCTTAATTGTTGAACATTGTGTTTAATAAACTCATAATTGAATACGGAATGAACACACCATTAAGAAATCCTTGAGCTCGTTATTCAGCATACACATAATGTTATATCCTGAGATCTCAGGTGCAATGTAACGAATCCAAGGGAAAGCGGAGAGAAGCCCACCTGTGATATCGAAGCATTTCGATCGACGTTCCAACAAATCGAGAAAATATTCTAATCTACGAAGAAACATTGGGAAAAAGGACTAACGATCACGATTCATTGTGTTTTACATATATATATACATATATATATAATTATTCATGTTTGTACTTCTGCTGTTGATCGAATGCCGTTAATTCTCCCGTTGTAAAATTCCAGAGGACATTAATTACAGCTGGTACAAACAATAGTTTCAATCGATGTAATTTATTTTTATTCAAGTTTTCTGAAAATATGATTAATTGATTTTGAATCATTTTAATCATTTCGCTTTTTCCAAAACCGAAAATCTTCATAGTTCGCATCATCCAATTTCGTAATTCTTTCCATTCTGCTCCATCGTTCATTGTGATTCCTTTCAATAAGAAACGATAATATCATTAATTGAAAATAAATCATATTTATACAGAGTATTTAATAATTAGTGATATAATGATCTATATAATTCTATATGCAAATAAAATAAATCGGAAAAGAAAAATTTTTTTGTTTAGGAGTAAAGTACATATAAAAAATTTTTCAAGTACAAATGAAATTGTTAATTTATTATTCATTAATCAATTTTCAATTAGACATGAGTAAATTATTGGTAAAAATTTATTCCTTCTTATTTTTTATCTATCTCACTATAATATTTAATATATTTTCCTAATTTATTATAAGATAATATATTATAATTCATATTTTTAATAAAAATGAATTATATTATATACATAGGATCTTATAACTAAGTTTTTGTCATTATAGAAGATCTCATAACTAATAGTACAATCGGTAATAAATGATTCTATATAAGAAATAAATCGAAAATATAAAATAAAATTTTTTAATTTGAAATCTCATTTTTAAGTAAGTAAATTTCGAAAAATTTTCAAATAAGAAAACCTCCAGATAAATTGATTAATACATTTAAAATTATATAGTTTTTAATTTAAAAAAATAAAATTGAAATCTTTCTTATTTGACCTATAAAAAAAATATTTATGTTCCATTGAATTTTTTGAATTTTTGTAAAAATATTTTTTTGATAATCAATCTCTTTCAATTTCTCTAAAATATTTTATTCAGTTAAACGAAATATTTTTTTTATATTCAAAATATTGTACTTATAATGTGACTTCAAATTTAAAAATGAATATTTTAAATTTTATTATCTATTTTAAGAATTATAAAATTTAAATTGTATAATTATAAAACTAAATATTCGAAATTTGTTTTAAAATAGATTCAAATTTTAATGTACCTTGTTTCTTGCCCATATTTCGAATTTTAATAAATTCGTTCCAAGGACGCCCTTGGAATTCCTCGTTTTGCAATATCAAATCACAAAATTTACTTCCAGAAACGATTATTATTTTTTCATGACTAATATTCACAGTTATAATATCACTATTATATCGTCTTGAAAGCTCCAAAAATGCTTTATGTTGTCCTCCAAATTCACGTGTTAAACGTTTCAATAAAAACTGATTACCGATAAAGGGCCATGAAAATGGTCCTAAAAAATAATTGAGATTTAAAAAAAGAAAAAAATATCATTTATAACATTATCATTTATTTAACATTAATATATCAATATTAAATCTATCTATTATATTAAACTTTATTATTAATTAATATATTAAACTCTTATATTATAACTCTCTATTATATTAAACTTTTAAAAATTCAAATGTCAAAATCTTCAATATAAATATTGATTATCGAAAGCATCACATCATCACATTCAATAAAAAAAATATATTAAAAAATAGATTATTAAATAATCTAGATAAATAGATAAATAGATAAATAATAAAAAATAGATTTTTAAATAGATCAATAAACAAATATAATAATAATTTTGACTAAATTTTTATTCATAAATCGAATAATATAAGTGATAATTAAAAATAAATAAATATAAAAATATATGTAATAGTATCCGCAGTTGGGATTAAATATGGACATTTAAGTGATTAAGGTAACTTTTCTGATCTTTATAAAAATTCCATTGAATTGAAAGAAAATAAATGTGAGTGAATATTGATATAAACTACACTACTCGAAGCTTATTCTGTCCCTTTGTCAAGAATTGGTGGGGATAGTGATGCATGGTTAAGTAACCAAAAATGCAAACATTAAGTGTACTATTGTACGTAACAAAGCAAATGTTAAATAATAATAATAATAATTAAGAATATAAAACAATAAATATTTTGAAGGAAATATAAATACTTTGAAAAAAAAAAATAAATAACTTTCAACAGAATTAATGCCACCAAAGAAATTAAATT